CCCCTCCCCGCTTGCCCACATGCCCCTCTCTGTCCTGAACACGTGTTAGCGTCATCCAGCAGTGTCACTGAGACTGAGGCTCGCCGACTAGACATGTTTTTTCTTTATCGGTGTAATACAAACAACAGGAAATATGATTAGGGTCGGCGGGGCAATTTAAATATTTCAATCAATCGACTTTTTTTAATAGAATTGTTCCTTTTGTTTGACAGTTTGCTTTTTTTTATTTGTTGCAGATGACGGCTCCGAGGACGAGGAGGGCCGCGACGAGGAGCGCGGCGGTCGCGAGAAGCACTGGAAGCCGCGGCCGAGGTTCCACCAGCACCACCAGAGCCAGCACGGCACTTACGGCACGTCCGCGTCGGGCCAGGAGAAGCGCACCTTCAATGAGGGTGAGTAGTGTAGGAGGTGCTTTCCCGGAGGAGGCTGCCCGGCCCGGTACCCGAGAAGATGTTAAATTAGGATTTAGTCGCCCTGGGCTCCATCGGTATGCGGCGGAGGGTGGGCGGCGGGCTGCTGGTGCTGACGAGGAAATGGTAATTACGGACCTCGTCAACGCTCTTATCGGAATTTGGCCCGAGAGGCGGCGCCGCCGACGCCGAGCTCCTTTTTGTGCACCCCCGCCCCGTCCTCCCTCCTCGTCGTGGGCGAAAGGAGCGGCACTCGCCGGCGTGGACGCCCGCGCGGGGAGGAGGTCTGGGCCTCGGGCTGGGCCTCGGGCTGGGCGCCGTGCCCTGCTGGTCCCGGGGGAGGGCCCCGTTATGCATATTAATGGGGCCATGCATTCACACGGTACGGCGCATGACGCACTCAACCACCGGGTCGCCGCCGTCGTATAGCGCAGTGCCAGTGGGGGGCCGCGGGGTGCATGCCGCGAGACTGCCATCCCGGCCCGGTGCGGTGTCCCCGCTCTCTCTTCGGATGCAGCCAAAGTCGATAAAGCTGAGGTGAAGCAGCAGCGGCGGCGGCGGAAGCGGCAGGGGAGGGAGAGGGATGCAGCACGCTAGCCCGGGTGGGGGTAAAAGGTCAGAGGTTGTGCCCGCGGGACGCATAGGGGGGCGCGGTTGGGGTCGCGTTTGCTGGACCGTGGTCGGCTAGCGGCCAGCTCGTGCTGCTGGAGCACTCGCATGGCTGGGCCGCGGCCGGCGGCGCGTTTAAGTGGCGAACGCGGTCGTCCTGCTCCGCGCCCGGCTCGGCCTCCTTCCTCTTCCCGCTGCGGATGACCTTGACCTTTGACCCGTCGGGCGGCTGCCCCGGGGCGCCGCGGGCGGGCGTGCGGGTGGGTTGGGTGGGGGAGGACCTGGGGGAGGTCGTCAAGGTCGTTCGTTTCATATGGCGCGACGAGCAGTGCAGGGTGCAGGCGTTCACGCCACGAGAGCCTCGCCGTCCTCTACACAGTGAGCCGCTGGGGCTGTTCGCTGCCACGATGCGAGCGCTCTCTAATTGCCCCTTGCAATTAGTGCCTCTAGGCCCCGACTAGTCGCGACTCTCCCCCGCCCAGCGCGCGCCCTGTGCGCCGCGCCGAGCTCTGTGCGCTCCGTTCTGCTCTGTCCCATTGTGTCGGGCCTCACTGTGCACATGCGACACGCTATAACGTTATCGCTTTTTCTTGAATGGGTTCACAGCTGCTGGGGGAGGGGGGAGGGTGGGAGAGTGAGAGGTCAGCATTCAGGTGCATCACAAAAGGCGTCCCGCGCGATGCGCACCCGGTGCGCAGCCAGGTGTAAGCCGGCCGGCCCTTGGTCCCGCGTCGCTGCTAGCAGAGCTCTCTCTGTGCTGGTCGCGAGCCCCGGCTAATTGCGTACCCTTGTGGTGTCTCAAATAGATCGGCTCGGCGGGTGTCGTCTGCTGTCGATGTTGAGCGGCCCCGCTATCTGCCGGCACCCATTTGTAGAGTTCGCTCGCAGTCGCGCGGGGCCGGGCCGTATTTTTAACGGCAATGTAACACTCGCGCCCGTTGCATCATACCCGTGGCCGGTGGAGGTGAAGGCCGGTCCGGTGCTCTCCGTCCTGCGGCGGGGGCGGGAGCGGTAGGTAGGTAGGTACATCCTTCGGGGGGGTGTCCTTCCCTTCCGCCACCCGTCACCTAAATAAACAGCGCGTCCCTGCGAGGCACTGCGGGGCGCCTGCCCCGCCCCGCCCTGCTGGTCCTGTCTGGCGTGCCACGCCGAGCACCGACCCTCCCCGTCAACGTCAGCCGACTTGGACCGGGGGACGCGGCGGCGGCGGCGGACAGGCTCCGGTCGACTGCGTCGGAAGCGTGGGAGGTACACCCCCCTCACCCCCTGTTGTTAGTGTGCGTGTGACAAGAGGGTAGAGTTGCTACTGTGGAAAGGAGGGGGAGCTTCATGCAGCAGGGCTGCCACCAGTCCCACCAGCCACCAGTGCCCCGCCCTGGTCGGGGTTTAAATCGCTGCGGTTCATACATACTCACACAGTAAACTTGTCGTTTGCGCAAATCCACTTCCTCTAGTATAGTGTATTTCGATTAACGGTGATAGAGGAAAAGCGGGTAGAACATAAACGTTTCCAATTGGTCGAGAGATTCCCCCCTCTACGTTACTTCGGTAGAGGGGGTAAAGGCTCGACCACAGGAACCTTTATGTTCTACCCACTCTTCTTCTTCGTCTATAAGCCGAAATACACTATGACGACGCAAACTTGGACTGTCGGGCGTCGCGGATGCTCAAACCATCTCGCGACTTCAAGTCGAGAACGCTCTTCTTGTCTTCCTCCAGCCGCGCAGCGGTAGGGGGCGGGGAGGTGTAAAGGTGACGGAGGCGGGGCGGTGCGCCTGAAGGTAGTTGGCTCCTCCTGAGCCTCTCGGTGATTCATGTGGGCCTGGCTGTGGCGCTTTGGCGAGAAGCGCTGGCTCCGCGCCCCGCCCCGCCCCGACCCAGGCGCCACGCTCTGCCCCATTGACGGCCCGCCTGTCACTTGAGGCCGACAGCCCGACGACAGACGGGGGAGGTGGGGCGGGTGTGTGACCGTGCGAGGGGGAAGCTGCCCCTTTCTTCAAGACGATTAAAAACTCGTTGGGCCCGTCGATGTCGACGGCTGACGGTCCTGCCCTGCCTGCGAGTCCATTC